AAAGTTGAGTTAAGAAAACGGAGAAAGTCAAGTGGGCAAATTAGGGATCGTATCATTAATCGTGTTGTTGCTGTTAGACATGACAGTCAAGATATTCATCTGGTTTAAAAAGTGTGTTTTCTTTTACTTTTCAGCAAACAAAAGGAGCACATCTAGCTAGAAATTTTTACCAGTGATACTAGTAACTTGAATCATATTTTGTAAATTACATGATGTGACGTTTAATGATTTAAACTCATTTTTACAATCACTGAATAAATAATTTAATCATTAACCGTCACATCATATGATGTACAAAATATGATCCAAACATATTATCTTCCTAACATTTTCTAAATTGTGAAGTGTTAGAGCTTTCAACTAGTTAGCTTAACCCTAACAATTACGATCCTAAGTCCTAACCTTGATTATTAAAATAAGTCTTCCATTGACTTTTCATACTAGCCAAAGCCTATTTAGGTCAATTAAGGATTAGCCCTACGCTCAACCCTAGCTAGATGCCTCAAAGGCTAAGGGGGGCGTGGCTGTCATTGGGCCACAGACCAGGAGTTGCCAATGTTTAGATAGAGTCTAATTTTTACATATGGTTATTAAACTTCATCTTTACTTTGGTTTTTTTGGCTTACATTACAAAGTTTCTAATGAATGAATCCTACATTGATATGACAAGGGATCGTGCATGAACTTATAAGTAAGTTGAACTACTTTTTATATCTTCAATTAGTTTTATTGTGGAACCTCAACTTGCTTCATTGTATTAAAGGTTGTCTTGTGTGTGAAATCCAATGGTCACATATGGTCCACGTCACCATGTTTGTGTTGTTAAATTTGCTATAGGTGAGAGGGTATATTGAGAATGAATCTCACATTGATGGAGGAAGGACCTTGCATGAGCTTATAAGTAAGCTGGACTATTCCCTATATTTTGCTAATTGGTTTTATGGACTGAAACCTTAACTTGCTTCAATTCGAACCCTGAACCCAAGCAACTCCGCCTTTTCCTTTCTTCCTCCAAGTTAACATCTCCATCTAAAGGTACAATTGGTTTTATGTGCTTGTTGTAGGAATCACTTCATGTACTTTTTTAGGATTCACTTGCATTTTACTAAGAATTGATTCCAAAAATATTTTCACTAAAAACACTTTCAGCCATTTTAAAAATACTTTCAAATAAGTTCTAGTTTAGAAAAAAGAGGAACCAAAACGTTGAAGGAATCTTAGGGTTGTAAATTATTATTTTATGTTTTTTGTAAAGAGCCTAGGGTTGTCATCTAAGGGTAACTGCAACTTCTATAGCTGGTGAATTCATTGAAGGAACTCGCAAGGTATACAAATGAGACCTATGTCCGGCCGGTTGAGTGGCTGGGTTGGCTGACCCCCAATGTCTTATCCCCACGAGTCCCAATCCATTATAATAGGATTCCTTAGTTATTCACAACCAAGCCCAGTCCATTATATTCAGTCACATTCAAAAGTTACATTTAATGTTGTTTCAGTTCATTTACTTGCTTTTCGTTCCGAAGAGGATTCCCTCTTAATCTCTCTTTCTTTCCCTCCCTCTCTTATTGGAACGGTTACAATTAAGCAAGGACGACATCTTAGATTGATATTTTTTTTGAGGCAATATGACAAAAAACAAAGTGTAAGAGGAGAGGAGGAGGGAAGGAGATAAAAATAAGAGGGAAGAGCATCCTACTCTTTTTGGTTCATCCTCACATTTTATACGCCCGAAGTTTGTTTTCTCAAAAGTTGTTCTTGTTTGATGGCAGCCCTAACCCTAACCCTATCCCAACATGAAGACAAGACTCCAACTCCCTACGATTGAAAACAATGAACCGTAATGATGTTTTTGGGTTTTAGCAGCTCTAGGGTTTGAAGTACTCTATTTTATACATTCAACATTGAGAATCCGAACTTATTTATTTTCCTGCAATAAGTTCTTCTATCCTATTTTCTCTTTAATTTGTATACAAATGTCAAGTATTTTGAGGAAACTTTGAGCCATAATTTTCTTTTAGCAATATTGTTCATTCGTGCAAGTTCTTTGTTCTCTGTACATGTTACGCAATCAAAAGTTGACAACTCTTGTTCCTATATACAGATGTGACTTTCAATTGACATATCTCTACCACATATAGTCTTTCATATTGTTGTGAAATCTACCCAAGAGTGTCATTTCAACTTGGAATCCGAATTTGGTCTCCCACTTTCAACTAATGTCCAAACTAACATGGTGGGATGATATCCTTGATTCTCCTTTATTGTATATATTCGATTTAAAGGTTAGAAAAAGTGGCGGATGAAATGCATAAGAAGAGAACATATAAGTGTGAAAGTTACCATTCTTATTTATCCTCCTGAGAAATCTACACAATTATTTGGTGACAGATAACACAACAAAAGACATGTATAGTTCTAGTTCTTCATTTTTCTAGCAGCGTGCCCATGAACCCTCTAACAACATGGATTGTAACATGGTCACCCAAGTTGCATGCCCAAATGCCCACCCAAAAGGCCATGAGAGATTAAGAGAAACAAAACCCTTCCCCACAAACCCTAACCCAAAGGTTGGCTCAAAGACTCAGTCCTATCACACTCCACTGTTCAAAACCAAGCATCCCCCAAAATGGCAATGGAGTCATGGACACATCATTGGGCTAAAGAATTTCACTCTCTAACCAAAAGAAGCAAAAAACTGAAAAAAAAAAAAAAAAGAAAAGAAAAAGAAAAATTCCACGTGTGGGCCCCCACCCAGGATAAATAGTCCAATATATTCTGTGGGCTGGCTGGCTGTATAGTTAAATTTTTGAAATACAAAGCAAAGGAGATAGAAGAAAATAAAAAAATAAAAAATAAAAAAATTCTTGGACCATCTGAAAGTCCAAGTGCCCAAAAAAAATTATACCCAAAAATAATTGCCCTGTTTTTTCACTCTGACCCCCCAAACCAAAAATATCTTATCCCCTTAACCCTTAACGAGTCCCAAAGTCCTCTTTTAGGTCCAGTTAGCTTCTCGGGTTCCAAAAGCCCAATCTAGGTTTCCCTCTCTCTCTGTGGAAAAACCCTAGATCTCGCTACTGCCGGAGAGTCGAAGCTCGGCCCGTCGAGCTTCAATACGCCTTGCCGATCGCCTCCTCTCGGCGCCTCCACCTAAACCCCTCTGGTAAATTTCCCAACTTTTCCCCCAATTCTTTTTTCTCTCTTTCTGCGCTTTCGAAAGGTTTCAGATTTCCGCCTTCTTAAGCTTATGTTTCTGAAAGGACCTTTGATTTTGTGTTTAATTCGGGTTGTTGCGTTGGGAATTCTGATTTTTACGCTTAATTTGGGTTTTTACGTTGTGAATTTTGAATCTGTAGCCTGATTATGCTGTAATTAATTTTAATTTTGTGGGTTTGAGTAAACTCCGCACCTTTTCTTTTCGTTCTTTAATTTTTGAGTTCAATCTGTTAAATAGGTGTGATTGCTGGGTTTTTCCGATCTGGGCTGCTGTTTCTAAAAACGTAAAGTCTAAAACTCGATCAGACGACGGAATATTGTAGATATCTGGGTTTGTTTTTGAAAATTTAGTGCTGGTTTTAAATTTTAGCCCGTTTCTGGGTTTGTTTTTATTCTCCGAGTTTACAATCCGGTGGACTTCAATAATTCCTGACCCATCTGGGATCCATTGTAGGTGAGAGCTCATCTTCTTGTTGGAAGATGAAAGATGGATATTTAATCCGATGGACTTTAATCCGAGGGACTGTATTAGAGGCTGGGCAGGTCAATCTGTTTGGGTTGACTTAAGTTCATGTTTTTGTATCGGCCCATATGGGTCTGGTTGGGCCCAGTTTTGTAGGAATATGAAGATGTTAGGATGTATTTATTTAAAATGTTTGATGCGATTCCCACAAGAAATAAAAATAGACAAAAATAAAAAAAAATCCCAACAAACAGTTGTGATTGAATAAGCTTGGCCTTGCGAGACGGGGTGCTTTATGTAGATATTAAATCTACATAACATGCATGCTTAGATATTAAATCTTGGATTATTGCTCATTATATTTTCGCTTTTCGTGTTTTTGGTATGACAAGTTTTCGTATTTCAGTTTCTTAGTAGTTTAGTTTTGCCTAATGAGAATTGAATGTCTCCTTCCGGTCCAAAAATAAATTTATAATTGGTGCATTTCGCTAGTTTGTGTTTTTCATTGTTGGGATAGTAGGGTGTTTGGACCATGAAATTTGTTCCTGCCATGCACAAAACGTAGAAACTTCTTGACTTAATATTTAGCTGGTTCTGTATGATGGGATGCGTATGATATTATGACAGATTGTGGTCGTTACCATTACAGTGGTGAAGGGATGCATCAACGACATCATTAGACCTTTCTGTAACTAAATACAATGGAAGGCATGAGATCCTTTTTTTTCTATCTTTCGTGGTACTTGACAGTTTGCTATATTGTATGTTTACTGTTCTGAAGTAGTCCCATAACATTGAAATATGGGTTTGTTCCTCCGTTTATTCATTCCATGTTTCTCTGAATGCAAGAAACTGTTGTTATGTTGCTTCTGTTTATTTATATGATTTTTCTGTGGCGAAGTCTTTAACGATATGTTCCATTATCACTATGCTCTTAGTTTCAGCATCTACTTTCCGTTTTCTTAAAGGTGGTGGCTGTTTGCTGAATGCAGGATTTTACTTCCCAAGGACAACATGGCAACCCCTACTGAAGAGACAATTGCTGCTCCTATTCAAGACAAAATGGCCTCCCCCATTAAAGAGCCAACGGGCTCCCTTGTTGAAGAGCCATGGTCCGCCCCTGTTGAAGAGCCGATATCTGCCCCAGCCGAAGAGCCGACATCCGGCCCAGCCGAAGAGCCGATATCCGCCCCAGCCGAAGAGCCGATGGCGTCCCCTGCTGAAGAGCCGATGGCCGCCCCCGTTGAAGAGCCGATGGCCGCTCCCGTTGAAGAGCCGATGGCTGCTCCCGTTGAAGAGCCGATGGCTGCTCCCGTTGAAGAGCCGATGGCTGCCCTCGTTGAAGAGCCGATGGCTGCCCCTGTTGAAGAGCCGATGTCTACCCACTATGAAGAGGCTATGGCTGCCCACTTTGAAGATCCGATGACCAACCACTTTGAAGAGCCAATGACCGCTCCTATTAATCACAAGAGGGCCACCCCTGATGAAGACATGATGGAAACACCTGATGAAGAAAAGATGCTAATGCTGACCCCATTTGAAGATAAGACTGCAACTCCCTATGAAAACAATGAGGTGGAAAATACAGAAACACAGCCTAACAAGCGCAGGAAAAAGAAGTCAATTGTTTGGGAGCATTTCACCATAGAAAACGTGGGTCCTGGATGTAGGAGGGCATGCTGCAAGCAGTGCAAGCAAAGTTTTGCTTACAGTACGGGTTCAAAAGTAGCAGGTACCAGCCACCTCAAACGCCACATTGCGAAGGGGACCTGCCCAGCGCTTCTTCGTAACCAGAACAACAATCAGTCTTCCCCATATACCCCAGCTTCAAGGGGTGGCAGCTCTTCCAATCCACCAAAAAGGCGTTACCGGACTGCTAACACACCCCAAATTATATTTGATCCAGACCGTTGTCGCCATGAGATTGCAAGGATGATCATCATGCATGACTACCCCCTGCATATGGTTGAGCATCCTGGGTTTGTAGCTTTTGCACAGAATCTTAACCCACAGTTCAACATGGTGAGCTTCAATACTGTTCAAGGAGATTGTGTTGCAACTTACCTAACGGAAAAGCAAAGTGTCACCAAGTTTATTGAGGGCATACCTGGACGTGTCTGCCTTACTTTGGACATGTGGAGTTCCTCTCAGAGTGTGGGTTATGTGTTTATTACGGGGCACTTCATTGATGCTGACTGGAAGTTGCACAGGCGGCTGCTTAATGTAGTGATGGAACCATATCCGGACTCTGATTCTGCGCTTAGTCATGCTGTTGCTGTTTGCCTTCATGATTGGAGTTTGGAAAACAAGTTATTTTCAGTCACTTACGATCAGCCACTGAGCGAGACTGCTCTTGAAAATTTAAGGCCTCTTCTTTCAAACAAGAACCCACTTATCCTCAGTGGTCAACTATTGGTTGGGCATTGCATGGCCCGTACTTTGAGCAGCATTGCAAAAGAAGTGTTAGCAGCAGGAAGTGATGTGGTAAAAAAAGTCCGGGATAGTGTAAAGTATGTGAAGACATCAGAGTCCCATGAAGAAAAGTTTCTGGAGCTTAAGAGTCAGCTCCAAGTCCCAAGTGAAAGGAGCCTATCAATTGACGACCAAACTAAATGGAACACAACATATCAAATGCTGGTGGCCTGTTCTGAATTAAGGGAAGTTTTTACTTGCTTGGATACATCTGATCCTGATTACAAACAAACCCCGTCAATGGAAGACTGGAAGCAAGTTGAGACTATCTGCACATATTTGAAACTTATCTTCGATGCGGCCAACATCCTTACCACTACGACTAACCCAACTGCAGTTACTTTCTTCCATGAAGTGTGGAGGATTCAGACTGATCTGACTAAGATGGTCGAAAGTGAGGATCCCTTCATTAGCAGCCTAACTAAGACAATGCAAGAAAGAATTGAAAAATACTGGAAGAATTGTAGCCTGGCTTTGGCAACAGCGGTAGTTATGGATCCCAGGTTCAAGATGAAGCTTGTTGAGTTCAGTTTCAACAAAATTTATGGCGAAGAAGCTCCAATGGATATCAAGGTTGTTGATGACGGAATTCATGAGCTCTTTCATGAATATCTGACGCTGCCTTTGCCTCTCACACCAACTTATGCAGACGAAGGGAATAACAACATTAAGATAGAGGATTCCCAAGGCGGAGCTATCCTAACAGACAACGGACTCACAGACTTTGACATGTACATCATGGAGACTACCAGCCAACAGATGAAGTCGGAGCTGGATCAGTATTTGGATGAGTCCCTGCTGCCCCGAGTTAATGATTTTGACGTGTTAGGCTGGTGGAAACTGAACAAGATGAAGTACCCGACTCTCTCAAAGATGGCTCGAGACATTTTGTCAATTCCGGTATCTACAGTTCCTTCCGACTCCGTCTTTGATACCACGGTCAAGGAGATGGATCAGTACAGGAGTTCCCTACGACCAGAGACGGTTGAAGCCCTCATATGTGCCAAGGACTGGATGCGGTTTGGATCAGCAGACGCGTCCACAGCACTTGTCAGAATGGAATATTAGATGCTAGGTCTCTTCCACCGACACGCGGATGGATGGGAAGTTGGCCGCCGGGAAGATGTATGATGGTAGGTGTTTGTATCATTTAACCTAGTTTATTTCAACCAGTAGGAGTTTATCTTTTGTACTATTTTTAAGAGGTTGAGTGCTTGGACGTGAATATTTAGCCTTAATTTATGGTATTCTTAAAATTTATGATGATTTAAATGGAGTTTGGGATATGGATGGGCATTATATATGCTTTGTTTTACAGGAGACTAGCCTCTTCCAGTTTCGATTGCAGAGGGTTCAATTTTGCTCGGAAAACACTTGGTTCCTTACATGTAAGGCTGTTCTTCCTCGCACACAAATTGGATTTCGACGCGTGTGCAAAAACTTTATAATTTATAGATTTAATGGGATTTTGGTACGTCTCTCTTGGTCATTGGAAATTAAGGAAGAAGGACCCTTGCATATAAGAAAAACTAAGCTGTGTATTTTTGGCTCATCGCCAAATTGGGGTTGTCAGCGTCACCACTTGACTATTTGTCGTCGTCGAGCAAGTAAGTTTGATATAGGGAAATGATTTATGAACTCTGTTTAATCGAACAAATTAAATGAGAATCGAGACACTGACACGAAGAGTGCAAACCAGGAATATTTACAATTAATTATAATTTGCAAGCTCAGCACTAGATCCTGCATTCAGAGAACTTTTCTAAGGGCATCTTCACGACTCATCATCTGGAATCTGGATGCATCCCAAGATGGGGATGTGAGGTTCCATCTCCGGCCCTCCATCACCTTCTTGATTCTATGGCAAACATCAGCCGGTGGAATATGAGGAAAACCTCCTGCAGCTTTCCCTCTTCCCGTCTACCACCACCATCGCATCTTCATCTTTATCTGAGCAATTATTCTGTATGCTCTCAAGCTTGTGGCTGCGTCCCATGACCGAGACTATGCTATTCACATAAACAACAACATAACCATTATCTTCTGCTTCAATGGGAATGTGCTTCAGCTTTTTGGTACAAAGATGAAAGAAAACTCATCGCCCCACAATGCCACAGGGTTAGACCCTAGTATCTGATCTGTACGCTCAATAGGCACCCTTAAAGTCATCATCCATCACCCACATTTCATAAGGTTCAGGATATCTGTTGTCATGAGGACTGTTCACAACACGGGCAAGAAAAGCAACTGATTCATTCCACACAGTAAGCTTCAAACAAAGGTGAAATACCTCACGACTTGTATCGAACGAAATGATCAATGTCCCATTCGCTTGGAATCGACTCCCAATTAGGTCAAATGGAAATAATTCCTTATCTTGCTCAATTGCCAGCCAATAACACATTCCCTTGGGGGACATCTGGAAATACTCTGGCCAAAACAAACTAGTTTCAGTTTCTAAAGAATCAGTGTTGATCTCTTTCCAAAAATCACCGACTAAGAAATCTCCAGCAGTTTTCATCTGTCTCTTGAAAATAAGTAGTAAAGGTCACAACTTTGTACTCATTAGATTTGGGATCATAGCCAAATCCAGTATGAAAACCAGTTTCAATTATATAAATGCTGATGTTACATGCATCTTCTCACAACCTCAAATTTGGGACGACTTAATTTTATAAAATGATAGACCAAGTGTGAGAGTTGCATTGTTCGAACCCACAACCTCAAATTTAGGTCAACTTAATATCATTCATTATTTGTTTGTAGGTCTCATATGTTATATGCATCTTCTCTGCCAGCCTCACTTTTCATTAAGAATTCAAAATTGTCTTATTACACGATTACACCCACCCTATACCATTAATATCAAGGATATTATTTAAAGTATATACTATCATAAGATTAGCCTAGGCCCTAGGATTTAAATCATTGATATCGGTTGCTTTAATCACAAGTATTATCCTATTATTCACAAGTGTTACACGTCTGGTTCATATGATCACATACTATAATAGCGTATCCATTCAATCGTGATGGAATATCGTCTTAGGTTGGATGGATACGACCAAGTGTGAGACTTGTGTTATTCGACCCCACAACCTTACATTTGGGCCGGCTCAATATCATTCATTATTTGTTTGTGAGCCTTATGTTATTTGATTTTAGCCCAAGTTCATTTTATTTTGTCACATCATGTTCACATGGCGAATATGAATTAGGCAAGATTTCATTTTAGCTTGACTCATACTGTGAAGATACGTTATTCGAAAAAAGGTGGAATTTTCACATTCTTTATGGAATAGATATGAATCATCTCCATTTTAGTGTATTGAGATATGAATACATTGTATCTCTATTTCTTATTCTACGTTTGGTGGAAGGTATATATGCATCTTATCTGTCAATTCTGCTTTCTATTAAGAATTTAAGATTTGTCTTATTACACGGTTACAGCGACCCTATACCATTAATATTAAAGATATCATTTAAAGTATACTACTATAAGATTAGCCTTGACCCTAGGGTTTAAATCATTAATATCAATTGCTTTAATCACATGTGTTGTTTCCCCTCAATAGAAAGTTGGATAAAAGGCCTAAAACCATTGACTAGCATTTGCTTGATCACGTGTGTCGCTTCCCCTCAATAGATAGTTAGATAAAAGATCCAAAACCATAAGCATAAAAAGGCTTCAATTTAAAGCCATTGTCTACACAATACACATGCATGCAGTTTCTTTTGCCTATAAATTGAAAACTTGACGGTGATATGTAACAAGTTATATTCTGAATTGCAGACTTGTATTGATTTTTATTTATAGTGGGAGTAGGAATGTTAATTAAGTTTTTCACAATTTCGCATCTGTTTCGATCGTTTCATTTTAACCCCTCCACCACCTCCACGTCAACCTCCACCCCATAGGTACCATAAATACATGCAACTTCGTCTTCAAAACATCAGGTTGAATTAGAAATGGAGTCTAAGTTAGTGCAAGTCATAATTTTCTTCTTGTTTGTCACAGTTTCATCCGCTTGCACAATTTCGCATTTGAATGTCGTTTTCGGTTTCTCCGAATGTGTCAGTGTCACACATATTGCATGTGGTGATGACCGGTTGTTGTTTGGATGTGATATTTTGCATGCGTGCGATATCCCTTGTGTGCACCCCTCTGCGTTATGGTCTTGGTAGTTATTATATTTTAGGTCAAATCGGATAAATGATCCCTGTGGTCATAAGGTGTTCTGAAGATAGCCCATGTACTAAAAAAACTCGAATTTAAACCTTTGTGGTGTACTCCATTAGCAAATTTAGTCCAAAAGTGATTTTTCAGTTAACTATCTGTTAATACATATGTAAAATTATACTTTGACGTGTGCACCTTCTTTTTCCTGCATCTACCCTACACAACCCCCAAACTCACTTCGCGCAAGAGAAAAAGGAGAGACCATTTTCAGTTTTCCATAGAGCTACCACCGCAACCATGGCGGTCATTGTGTCTCCGTGGGCCAAACCCGGTGCCTGGGCCCTTGCCGTCGAGAATTCATCTCCGTCGGTGATACACCGCCGAGGATTCATCTCTACCGGTGATACAATGCCGGCGTTGGCGATGACATTTCGTTCAAGTCCAGGCACAGCTCGCTCAACGACGTCATCTCCCTACTGATGAAACAAAAATTAACCTGAAAAAAATACGTTTCGGTTTGGAGAAATTGAAAAGGGAAATTATGATGAAGGAATGAGAAGTGAAACCTGAATTTATTGTTGGTGATGGAGGTCGAGTTGGAGAATGCTGTTTTGAAACTCTTAGCCTGCAAACTGTGCAATGAATTTTGAAATTTAAATTCGAATTTATTAAACATTGCAATAAAATCTTAGAAACGTAAGCGTCAGTTTGTTTCCTGAGAAAATCCTAACGGAAATGAGAAAAATCAACTATTACAGTTTTTCATTGGCCCACGGAGACACGGTGGCTGCCATGGTTGCGGTGGTAGCTCTGTGGAAAACTGAAAATGGTCTCTCCTTTTTCTCTTGCGCGAAGTGAGTTTGGGAGTTGTGTAGGGGAGATGCTGGAAGAAGAAGGTGCACACGTCAAAGTATAATTTTACCCATGTATTAACAGATAGTTAACGAAAAAATCACTTTTGGACTAAATTTGCTAACGGAGTACACCACAGGGGTTTAAATCTGAGTTTTTTTAGCACATGGGCTATTTTCCGAATACCTTATGACCACATGGTTTTTTTTATCCGATTTGGCCTATATTTTATTTGGTTATCAGGCACTATTGGTTTATAGTAATGTTCGGGTAATCACTTATCACCCCACTCTTTCTTACCATCACTTCTCTCTTCATTTCTCACCAAATCTCCTCTCTCTCTCTCTCTCTCTCTCTTTCTTTCTCTCTCTCTCTCCCCACTCTCTCTTGTATTATGTATTGTATTTTGTAAGGTGTATATTCATCATAAAGAGAAGTACAAGAGACCTAACCAATATATATGCGTGAAGAGTAGGAACAATACCTCTTATCCCTTATTGATTTACACCTAAAGATAACAAACAAAGTAAAAATCAACAAGATACACATCCCTTGAATTAAGGGGAACGACAACAAGAGACTAACTATTGGTGATACCAATGCACAAGATGGCAGAAAACAGCCACTCTACATGGTACATCAAAACATCACCCTAAGACTCAGTTAACAACTTGTACAGTGGATATACAACCTAACCCTAGTTGACATACTTTTTCCTATTCTCTCAAGCTGGATCAATGGGGTTAACTAATCTAAGCTTGAACAAAAAATGCTGAAAAATAGTGGACGTCAATCCTTTTGTGAAAATATCCGTTAGTTGATCATGACTACGTGTGTAGTGAGTATAGATCACCTAGGACTGAACTTGATTTCAAACGTAATGACAATCAACCTCGATGTGTTTGGTTCGTTCATGGAATACTGGATTCGATGCAATGTGCATTGCAGCCTGATTATCACAGTGCAAGGACATAGGTTTCTTATGAGAAAAACCTAAGTCCAATAGAAGGCTTTTGAGCCAAATAAGTTCACAAATGATCGATGCCATAGCACGATACTCTACCTTTGCGCTAGAGCGAGCAACAACACTTTGTTTCTTGCTTTTCCAGTTAACTAAGTTGCCTCCCACAAATGTACAGAAGCCAGTGGTAGACTTGCGATCGAAAGAATTTCCTACCAAATCAGCATCAGTATAGCCTGAGATGTGAGTGTGACCATTGTTGCGCATAATAATTCCTCTACCAATGGAACTCCTGAGGTAACAAAGCACACGATGAACAATCTTCAAATGATCCATGGTTGGAGAGTGCATAAATTGGCTAACAAGACTTACGACATATGATATATCAGGACGTGTGATAGTCAGATAACTGAGTTTGCCAACCATTATTTGATAATAGCTTAAATTTGGAATGGGATCAATGTGAGTTTTCAGCTTCAAGTTGTTATCCAAGGGTGTGCGAGCAAGCTTGCAATATGTCATATTTGCTTTGTGAAAAAGATCAATAACATACTTGCGTTGGTTGAGGAAAAAGCCCTTGTGAGAGTGTGCTATCTCGATTCCCAAAAAGTATTTGAGAGTGCCAAGTTCTTTGATTGAAACTTGTTGTTGAGATACTTTTTAAGTGCATTGATCTTTGACATATTATCACCTGTCACAATTAGATCGTTAACATAAATGAGCATAATGAGTTTACCCACTGAGCTATAGTGAACACATAAGGAAGAATCCGCAATGCTTCGACAAAAGCGAGCCCTTTCGAGAACATGACTAAGCTTGGCATACCATGCACATGGACTTTGCTTGAGACCATAAATGGATTTATAAAGTTTGCACACCATTTATGGGTTATTTGATTGAGGATGACCTAGGTGAAGCTTCATGTAAACTTCTTCTTCAAGTTCACCATGCAAAAAAGCATTTTTAACATCCATTTGAAAGAAAGGCCATGCATTGTTGATTGCAACTGACAACAACACCCTAACAGTGTTCATTTTTGCCATGGAAGCAAAAGTCTCCTTGTAATCAACGTTTGTGTAAATCCTCGAGCAACCAAGCAAGCCTTATGCCTTTCAATCGTGCCATCTGAATAAAACTTAGTTTTGTACACCCAACGAATCCCCACTGCCTTTTTTTCCTTTGGAAGTTTTACTATGGTTTATGTGTGATTTTCATGAAAGGCTTGAAGCTCATTTGCCATGGTAGTTCTCCACTCATTATGACGATTGGCTTCTTGAAAACTTTATGGTTCACGAGCTTCATTAATTGCACTTAGGAATGCAGCAAAAGATTGTGAGACTTCACTATAGTCAATAACATCAGTCAAGGGGTACCTGGTAGTGTAGGTCACATAATCATGTAACTTGGATGAACGGTTCCTTTCACGAGCAGGATTGCGACAAACTGGAGACGATTGAGCTGCATGCAACTGAATAATATCATGGTTGGAATGAGCAATGAATAGTACAAGTTGAGTCTCTAATGG